ACTCTCAGCAAAGAGGGAATAGAAGGAACATACCTCAACATAAAAAGGCCACATATGACAAACCCACAGCCAACATAATACTCCATGAGCAAAAACTAAAAGCATTTTCCTTAAGATGAGTAAGACAGGGATGCCTGCTTTCACCACTCTTATTCAACATTGTATTGGAAGTCCTAGCCACAGCAATCAGATAAGAAGAAAAAATAGAAGTCATCCAAATTGGATAGGAGGAAATAAAACTGTCATTATTTGTACATGACATGATATTGTACATAGAAAACACAAAAGACTTCACCAGAAAGTTACTAGATGTAATAATGAATTTGGCAAAGTAGCAGGATACAAAATTAAGACCCAGAAATCTATGGCTTTTTATACACCAACAATGAACTCACAGAAAGAAAAACTACAAAACAACCCCATTTACCATTGCAACAAAAAAATTAAGATACCTAGGAATAAACTTAACTAAGTAGGTAAAAGACCTGTACTCAGAAAATTACCGAACGGTTGAAAAGAGAGATAGTGGAAGACATAAACAAATGGAAGAATATACTGTGCTCATGAATTGGTAGAATCAACATCATTAAAATGTCCATACTACAGTTGATCTCTTACCCTCTCCCACCCACCACCCAGCCCTCCCCGGCCTTCCCGCTTTGACAGTCTGTTCGATGCTGCTCTGCCTCTGGACCTATTTTTGCTCATCAGTTTATAATGGTCTTTATTATCCATAAATGAGTGAGATCATGTGGCATTTTTCTTTCATTGACTGGCTTATTTTACTTAGCATAATGTTCTCCAGTTCCATCCATGCTGTTGCAAATGGTAAGAATTCCTTCTTTTTTACAGCAGCATAGTATTCCATTGTGTAGATGTACCACAGTTTTCTAATCCATTCATCTGCTGATGCATGCATATAAGCATAACCAATGGACATAAGACACTGGGGGATAGGGAAGGCTGGGGGGGATGTCAAGGGGGGGCAGGAAAGGAGACATAAGTAATACTCTTTATAATACTTTAAGCAATAAAACAAAATTTAAAAAAAAGAGAAATGAATTCTGGCTAAAGATGACACCACATAATTTATTCAGTGCCTTTTGACTGCTGTCATCTACGAATGTGGAACTAGTGTGATTATACACTGTTTTACAGTCTAGAATGTCTGCTCTCTCCATTGAAATAAATGTTTTCCTGAAATAAAAAAAAATGTTCATACTACCCAAAGCAATCTATAGATTCAATGCAATTCCCATGAAATTACCAACAGCATATTTCACAGACCTAGAACAACTCTCCAAAAATTCATATGGAATAAAAACAGACCCTGAGTAGCTGCAACAATCCTGAGAAAGAAGAACAAAGTTGGAGGGATCACAATACCAGATATCAAGCTATATTACAAAGCCACAATTCTCAAAACTGCCTGGTACTGGCACAAGAACAGACATATAGACCAATGGAACCAAATAGAGAAACCAGAAATTGACCCATTATGCTCAGTTAATATTTGACAAAGGAG